AGGCTCTTGGCAATAGGCAGAACAGGAAGAGAGATTTGGCAGGAAGTTCATAAACTGATCAAGGGAGCTTTACCTTAATATTTGATGCGGAGGGAGAAAAGATTCAGATAAAACTGATAACTCAATATGAAGGGAAGCTCGGGAGTTAAGCAGAAAGAACAATAGTGGTGAAGATCTCCAGAAAACAAGAGGAGAAAGGTTTGGTAGCAAAACATATGACCTCAGATATGAGCTAAGCATAGATAATAAAAGTGAAGATGAGCATTCCTTTTTGTTGTTGTTAATCCTCACCCGAGGAGATTTTTCAGTTGATTTTTATTTTTAAATTTTAGAGAGAATGGAAGGGAGGGGAAGAGACACAGAGTGAGATACATCAATGTGAGAGAGACACATCGATTGGTTGCCTCCCACACACGCCCCGACCAGGGACAGGGACCCAGCCTGCAACGAGGTAGTGCCCTTGACCAGAATCGAACCCGGACCATTTAGTCCGTGGCCAATGCTCTATCTACTGAGCCAAACCAGCTAGGGCGAAGGTGATCATTCTTATAAAAAGGAAGTCATGCTTTTATAAAAAAGAATTAGACTTTTTGGAAAGTGATTCAAAGCTAGAACATATTCTGTGTCATTGTTGGGGCAGGTATTACCCAAGAGAGCATCCAGTGTCCAAAAGAAGTACAACTAATTCAAAGGTTAAAAATTTGCAATATATAGGGTGGGGCAAAATGAGGTTTATAGTTGCGAGTACATGAAACACAGAGTTTATTCTTGTATTATTATTATTTATTAATTATTGCATTATAAATTTTCCATACAAACAACTGTAAACCTACTTTTGCCCACCCTGCATAATAGAATTATCTGCACCTTTAGAGACATATGTGAAGCAGAGAATAGACACTTTGGGGTGAGGATTAATTGAATGCTAAAACTATAGAAGCATTTAAGAACATGGCGGACATTTTGCAAATACAGATTAGAAAACTAACACAATAAGATACTTAATAGCAATAGAGATTTGAACACCAGGGAGTCTAATACTTCAAAAAAAAATAATAATCTGGTCAATTCTTTCCTTTTTGAAGAAAGCAAAAGAAGTATCTTGAGGAAATGATGCTCTGTATTTGATCCTAATGTACAAGGGTGATAAAAATAATGATAGTGAAAAAATGATAGTGTACATTTATTGAGAACTTTATAAAAGTTAACATGTACTGAGTGCTCACCATGTCTCAAACATCACTTCCTTTAGTCCTCTGAGAATCCTATGCAAAGGAGGAAACTGACAGTTAAAGAGGCTAACTAGTGCAAAGTTACTTAGCTAGCAATAAAACCCTGGTCTACCTGACTCCCATGCCCATATTTTTAGCCAGGCCTCTTAAGATTGATGAAAGGTAACGATGCCATTTTAAAGACCATATGGTTAAGAAAGAGAGTTCTAGGAAGAATCCGTCACACGTGTTAAACTTTAGGAAAGTGGATGTCATAAAATAAATAGAAAAGAGAGATTGAGTCTATGGCCAAGGACTCCAAAAGGCAGGACATCTCAAGGGACTTGAAAGATTATTTTTTAAATCACATTTTTATTAATATAGTCATAAGTCATCCAACCTGCTGTGCATGTGTGCATAGCCATGCCAAAAATAATACATGGAAACTAACAATTTGGCTGTTCAGGACACTCAGATTTTAAAAAGATGAGCACAAAAGATGGAACAAAAGGCCCCAAAAGACCAGTGTAAGAAAAAGCTGAGACTTGCAAAAAGCCTAAAGACAACAGAAATTTTTGTTTTAGTTGTGTTCAGAGTAGGAAGAACGAGAAAAAAACGAAAGCTAACTGCTTGAGGCAGATGGTGTAAAACTGTAAACAGGACGAAAGAGCTGGATGCCAACACGGTATCATTTAGAACAAGTCTCATCAAACTCTCATTTGCTTTTTTGATGGTATTACCCAACAGGTCATATAAGGTAATTGCTCTGAGCAAAACATTTTACCGAAGCTCTCGTAATACTCTCATGGGCAAGATAGGAAAACCAAGGTAGCTTCCTAACTCCCTAAGCAACTAAGCCCATAATGTAGTCTTCAGTGGACTACATTAACCTGAAGGCCAGGCGTGCCCCTGTGTTCTGTCCTCTTCAACACCTGAGTATGAAATTTGGCCTGAGAACTCAAATGATCACATCCACAGATGACCCGAAGCTGGGAAGGATGGATGCCTGGTATGTATGTTAAATGACAGACTCAAGTGGCAGAAATCTGACAGGCTGAGGCTAGCAAGATGGGGTTTGATGTAAATCTATGTAAATAATCCTGCTGTCAGAAATCACTGAAACTAGTACAGGATGTGAGATGTTTGACTTTACAGTATTCACTTGAAAAGGACCCGGGAATATTGACTCACACACAACAAGAAATGGACAAAGATGGGGCCTACCAAAGGACTACAATCTTTGACTATATTCATGGAAATACGATGTCCAAATAAAAAATGGAAGTATTTTACTGTATCCGTAGTATACATTCCATATTTGGAGAAATGTGTTTTTAATCCAAAGAACAAATTATAAAAGGATCTTAAACAAATAAAAGGAATTATTGATAGCAAAGGTTAACCATGGTATATTGGGTTCAGAAAACACACTGGTGGAAGAGATGAAAATTACTAGCTTTGTTAAAACAAGAAGCCTGAAGGAATTCTGATACCAAAAGGCTCAGCTCCTTGGAGAGTCCATCTTCTTACTCTCTTCACGTTCCCCTGTGTATTGTCTTTGTAGTATTCACTGCTATCTGAAATTCCCTTGCTTCTTTACTGTCAATTTCCCCTTCATAGACTATAAGATTCACAAGAGAAGGGGCCTGGTCTGATCATTGTTTTATCTGCAGCACCTAGAACAGAGCCTGACACAACAATAGATGCCAAGAGAAAGGAGCGGATTGTCTGAACACAACATTCAGAGGACCTCCCTCATGTCAGGGGGATGGGTCCCAACTCGTCTCTGGGGCCTACCTTTCAGCAGGGGATATGGGGCAGGGCAGATGCTTAGAAGAGCCCATGGGGATGAAACATCTCACTATATGCAGAGGGACCTGTAGCTTGAGCCAAAAGTTTCTACTGGCCACTGCTGAGGCTTCAGGCAGGTCTGGACACATGGAAAGAAATGGTGGGTCAGGCTGAGAAGAAGTCAAATTTGCATGGACATTAAAGAGCCTGCTGGGCAAAAAAAAATTCCACAACCTCAAGCTGCGCCCCTTGATGGACTTCTGACCTACCTGGGCATGCCTACTGATTCAGTGGGGCAGTCAGTCAAAAATTTACTTGCGGGTGAGGATATGGAGAAACTGGATCACTCCTACATGCTGGTAGCAATGTATAATGATACAGCCACTCTAGGAAAGTTTGGTAAATTCTTATCACAGTAAACATGCAACTACCACACAACCCAGCAATGGCACCTCTGGACATTTGTCCCAGTGAAATGAAACTTATATTCACACACAAAAAAACCAACAACCCTGTAAATTAGCAGTTTGTTCATAATAGTCAAAATTTGGAAACAATCTAAATGTCCTTCAACAGGCAAATGGTTAAACTGTGGCACATCCATACTGTGAAATACTACTCAGTGATGAAAAAGAATGAACTCGTGATAAAACAACTTCAGTGAATCTCCAGGTAATTAGGGAATTTGGGGTTGCCAGGAATCAGGGATGGGGGTGGTAGGGGATACATGAAAACTGACACAGTTTTTAAATTAACCTCTGTATGACCCTACAATCGCCCTGCTGTGGGTGCCTCTGACACAATGCAATTCCACAAGGAGGGAGCCACTGTCCCCCACTCTGCCACAGACCACCAAATAGCCTTGAAACAGGCACCGACAGAAACTGCTGGGCCTGGTGGAGTCACAGGGGAGAGAGCGGCTCCGAGAGACAAGAGCAGTGTTGGTGGGTCCTGGGGATTGGCCCACAGTTTTATGACCTTCATAGGGCCCAGCAGAACTGGGCATTCACCAGCTGCGAAACTTCCTCGAGTGGCCTTGTTCTTGAACACAGGTGAGAAACCTCTTAATGACCCCAGAACTAGTCAAGGGGGAATTGTCAGGAATCTGAACTCTTGCATACACAAGTGAAAACCAGAATCAGGTAACTTGGACTACAAATTTTTGCTTAAATTGGTGTAACCTTATGTCACATGGGTCCTGATTTTTCACTAGGGAGTTGCTTTTGGGATCAGAGAACCTCAACCCCAAGCTTCGGGTTTATTACCCTAAACTGGTATCACCGTGTCTGCTCTGCTTACTTTACAAGGCTGCTACTTTGAGAATTACATGAAATGATGTCTATGAGACAGCTTTTTAAATTGTCAAATACTATACCCATGCAATTTTTGGTATCAGTATTTTAAGAGTGCTTCATCATCGCCATTGTAACTTCCTTCCTATCATCTCATCTTCTAGAGCACTGGTCCTCAACCTTCTGGCCCTTTAAATACAGTTCCTCATGTTGTGACCCAACCATCAAATTATTTTCGTTGCTACTTCATAACTGTAATGTTGCTACTGTTCTGAATCGTAATGTAAATATCTGATATGCAGGATGGTCTTGGGCGACCCCTGTGAAAGGGTCGTTCCACTGCCAAAGGGGTCGCGACCCACAGGTTGAGAACCGCTGTTCTAGAAGCTGCCTAAGTTCTAAGCCTGACTTTATGTGCCCCCTTTCTGTGGTATTTCAGGTCCGGTGTGACCCAGGACTGTTTGAGGCACACATCTACGGTAGTCTTTGTCTCTCGGACATCGCCTAAGAGTTGTCCTGGGAACAGAATCTGCTACAGTTCCCTGCATGCCTGCCCAGAGCTCTGCTGAGGGTGTGATCATGGACGCTGGGCTAACTGTGGAGGGAGAGGAGCCAATCACCCAACGGCTAGGAATTAGAAAAATTGCTCCATCATTAAGCTCCTCTTTGTCCAATTTATAACATTTTACAGGTCCCAACGCGTGGAAATTAAGGGGTGGGAATGAATCCTGGAAATGAGGGAGCTGAGAGCCAGGAAGTCGGGGTCCCTGGGTCTGGCACCCACTCCTCAACAGAACCCTGCTTCCACCGCTCCCTGGGCTGATGCTGCGGGTGGTTTGTGCTTCCTGCTCCCGCGTCCAGCTGGGGGAACGGAGCCAGCTCCTCCTCCAGGCTTGCGGTAGGCAGGGCAAGAGCAAACAGAGATGCCCTGCCCTTTGTTCCAGCAGCTCTGGGAAAGATTCCGTTCCAAGGAAAGTTGGAAAATGAACTGATTCAGAGTCACAGACTGACTCAGCCACTTACTGGCTGTGGGGACTCTGGCTTCAAGCTACTTCTTTGAAACAGGAATATCTGCTCTGCCTATCTTGATCAGTTGGGAGCTTTTTGGAGTTTTCAAAAATAAAAAAAGTCTGTTGTAAACTGTGAAGAGGACCAATGCAAATAACATTTCTTTTCTGTAGCCCAGGGTCCCCTGGTCCCCGGTGAGGGAAGACAAGCTATACTAGTAACTAGTTAATGAGAGCAACTTCCCATTTAGAGACAGGAATTCTCCTGAGTCCTTCAGCTGAACAAAGGTCTTGTTTCAGCATCAAGAGAGCATTCAGAAACACACTGGGAGTCCTAGCCTTTTGTATTTGCACATAAACTTTTAAATTGTAGCGGAGGAAAATTATTTTAATCCATGAAAAGACAGATCACTTCATGGACATTAAAGGAAGCACCAAGTAAAGGCAAACCCCAGTTTTTCAGATGCTGGGAAGAGGGAGAGCCAGGTATGTATGTGAACGATGGCAACCAGAAGCAGGGGTGGAAAAGCTGAGAATGGGATGGAAAGGATCCAGCTCTCTGCTGCAGGCTGGGGCTGCTCCACTCACTCACTTCACTCATTCATTCATTTGTTCATTCAGTCATTCACTGAGCATCAGCTCTGTGCTAGTGGATCAGAGCAGGATAAGGCAAGGTCTCTAATCATGAGGCATTCTCAGCAAGAAGGTCTTGCTGTTGAGAAGTCTGGTGGGACACAGGGAGAGAGCTGCCTGAGGATGAGTGCAGGCACTTGCCCCGGGCTGGCTGGAACCTTGGCTCACGGAGCTTCCCAGCCGCCAGCAGGAACGAGTCCCATAAAGGAATCTGAATGTCTCAGGGCTTGCAATGACTCAACTGGACACAAACACAGAAGTTGCCTTTGCAAACATGCAGATTTGGGGTTCCTAAATAAATGATTATTTGAAAAACAGGCCACTGCAGATTTGAGGCGGGTCCCTGAATATATTAAGGAATCTAGAGGTCATGACTGTTGACCAAGGTAGAAAGCAGACACCACCTTGGACTTCCAAGCCCTAGGTATAATTAGCCATCTCCTTTTCTGGGCTTCCACAGGCCTGGGCCCATAGCTCTTTTCAGCATGTCTTAGACTCATGGGAGCCATGCTCACTGTGCTGTGAGCTCCTCCAGAGAAAGAACAGCAGGGGATAGCAGGTAGGCCCCTGGCCATTGGGCAGAAAGACCTAGGTTCACACCCTGATTAGGCCCCTTCATGACTATCATTTTGCTGGGAGGATGGAATTAGATTACATCTGCAAAAATCTGAACTGGTGTAACCAATATGTGATGACTATTATTTTAATGTTTCCATATATTAGCAAATAATAATAGTTGTATCCATCAGGGTTTGGTACAAGAAATAGAAATTGCTTTATTTGTATTAAGAAGGAAGGGATTTGAATAAAGTGCTTGCCAAGTTCGTCGAAGGGCTGAAAGAACAGATTCTAGACCAGGGCTACAGAAACAGCTCCTAAAGCAATACAGAAATGACTGACCAGGGCAGTTCCGATGCCCGGAGCCCCTCTGGTGCTGTGCTAGAATGGAGAAGCCGGGGCCACCTCTGCTACAACCCCTGTTTCTCAGTGCCTGAGAAGCTGGAGAATGGACGCTAGAGCAGCACTGCGGAAAAACCTCACACTTCCACAGCTTTGCTTACCAGCTAAAATGACGAAAAAGGGAGCAGATTCTGCCTTCCACTTCTCATGCTGAGCTCATCTACTTGGTGGAAGACAGTTTACATCTTGAACTCTGAGTGCAAAGATGTATGGGAAATATGGTGCCCCACTTTCCAACCTCCCCCCCGAAGGAGGCTGCAATGCAGCTTGAGTGAGCCCATGCGCACACGGCTCCCATGTACTGACCATCCCATGCCAGGGACTCTGCAGTGGACTTCATGCCAACCTCGCCCACAGCAGTCCAGGGGGGCAAGTGCTCATTTTACAGATGAGGCACCAGAGCATCTGAAGTTGCCGTGTCCTGGGTCACAGAGTAGGAGCAGAGATGGGAGGTGACCAGGTTTTACCTTATTCTAGAGCCCATCCTCTTTTTTAAAAATATATTTTATTGATTTTTTACAGAGAGGAAGGGAGAGGGATAGAGAGCTAGAAACATTGATGAGAGAGAAACATCGATCGGCTGCCTCCTGCACAACCCCCACTGGGGATGTGCCTGCAACCAAGGTACATGCCCTTGACTGGAATCGAACCTGGGACCCTTGAGTCCGCAGGCTGACGCTCTACCCACTGAGACAAACTGGTCAGGGCTAGAGCCCATCCTCTTAACCACTATTATACTAGTAGTCACTGAATCTTGCATGCCTAACCCAGCACCTGGCCACGCCTACTCAGTGAGTGTGAGAGGAATTCATTCATCATGGGTTTAAACAGAAAATTAAACGGAGAATCCTGTGGCCTAAAATGTCTTCCTTTTCTGGGTCTGATCCAAGTCAGGAAGGCAGGAGGCTGATGATGAGGAACATGGAGGAGGTGTGGCCACGTGGGTGGGTGAGGCAGAGCTGTGTGTGCAAGTCCAGCAGGGAACTGGGGCCAGAATACAGGGGGAAAGGCCATTCGGAGGATTTGGGTGGTGTCGCCTCCCCCCTCTTCTGGAAGAGGATTAGAGGATGTGGATGGGCCTAATGAGTATGACTGACTGATTCACCCAAGAGATGTTTTCTACGTCCTCTTTCTTTTTTAATAGAAAATGAAAATATGATCTCAGAGAAAAAAAGCACACACAAGCACACTGGTGCCTGTGATAATGGCTTCCTGAGTGCCCTGCCTCTGCTGATAACCACAGACGCTCGTCTCTGCAGGAGCTGCTGGCATGCCACACACGCAGGCCCACAGTGACTGTGCAGGCGTTTAAACGCCTGCCATGAGGAGTACACACAAAAACACATACACAGTGCACAACACCATATATGTACTCATGCTCATGCACATACACTACTTCTCAAAAAGTGCCTCAGTGTGGTATAACCATGTCATACAGGTTTAAAACAATGGTGGACTATGAATGTAGGAGGTATGTATACAAAACAGTAAAAGAAGTGGGGAAAAGCAGCAAAATTGATATGTACACAAGATGAAAATCTCTGTAGAAAAGCATGCATGGTATTTACAGGGACAGGAAGCAACACAAATAATTGATGTCTGATGATCTCAAAAACTGTCCTCTGTGAATGTATTTAGTTGAACAGAATACGTTTCAAGTGACTGCTCTTTAGCCCCCACTCACTCTGCAGCCACTGATGTACTTCCACAGGCACATCAGCTAGGCCTCCAGCTCACCCCTTTCCATTCCCAATATACCTGTTGTTAGGGATCAGCCCCAGGTAGCCCCTGCAGTATCAGTTTGGTGACAGAGCTTGCCACCCTTTCCCCCTTGTCCTTCCGAGATCCCTTCTTGCCCAAGTCAGAAAAGCCCACGTTCTTGCCTCAGAGTACGCACAGGGAAGTTGAGGGATTTGATGCTGACCTTAGAGACCAGCTTCCCAGGACAGTTACAAGCTTACATGGGTTTTTTACAGTTACAACAGTTTGCCTCTTTGTACCCAGGGGGCGCTCAGGCCCAGGAATTGAAAATGTCAGTGTTTCCCTTTGGTATTTCTAAGACTCAGTAGGGAAGAGCTGGAAATTGAAGTTAAGGGAGCTGCAGGTGAGAATGATAACTGAGGGCTTTTGAACAGAAGGAGAGGGTGGGCTAGTTGTGAGCATGCCTCCAAGACCCACTGTCTTATTGAAGTTCAAAGCTGAAAGGGATCATGCATTAAACCGTCAGATATAATCCCTTCATTTCCCAGATGCAGAATCCAAAGCCAGGAGAGTGGAATGGTATGTTCAAAGTTAAAACTGATTAGAAGCAACTCTGCAATAACAAATGTAGAGCTCATCTGTGACGGAGCAATGTCTCCACTCTCTACCGTCCTGTTCCACAGTGTTGTCTCACTGACTCAATGACTTTAAGATATATTCTGGATATGAGATATTATTAGAGAAGCTGATTAATTAAATATACTTTAAGATTTTTCCTTTTATCAAATGAATATTAAAGAATATTATATAAAATGCACAAATCAGTTGTTTATATAAGTATGCCTTGCTTTAAAAGAGTTCAAAATACAAAAACCCAACTTCAAAAATAAACTCTGATTGTCTCATTATAAAATGAAACAGTCTGGTTTTTGTTTGTTTGTTTTTAAATAGGAAGTTTCCACTACATTTTTCAACACTAAAGTTTTTAGGAGAAAAAAAGGTGTAAACTCAAGAAAAATGATGGTGAATTTAGGTGTAGTTTTGGCATCCTGATCACTCACGAGTGTGGGTTTTTACTACGTTTATAAAACAGGAAGAAACTGGGAAGATGTATGGGTTAGCAGTTGGGAACAGAAGTCTAGTTCTACATTTGCCACTAATCCCCCAGCCCTACATGAGTCTCCTAAGTCCCTCAGTAAGAGGGACCAGATAACTATAGGTTATTCTAAGGTTGCAAAGCATTGTGGGAGCACAGTATTCATGAGAGTCAGACCAACAGGCTGGTTCATCTCTGCCTTCACCTCTCTGAGCAAGTCATTTACATTCTCTGAGCTGCAGTTCCTCTTGAGGAAATAAAACGTGTGCGATCCACCACCCAGGGCTATTTGAATGCTAAATGAGATAATGCACACCAAGTGCCTAGCCAGTGATGGCGAACCTTTTGAGCTCGGCGTGTCAGCATTTTGAAAAACCCTAACTTAACTCTGGTGCCGTGTCACATATAGAAATGTTTTGATATTTGCAACCATAGT